AAAATAGCTGTATTCATTGTATAAGGCACACCAACATTTCCACACTCTTTTGTGGGGGAGGAAGGTGCATCTTATATACCAAAAAATATAGTAGTTTTAGAGACTTTCATGTAGGACTGGGCTTTCTCAAAGAAATAATAAAAAGAGATATGAAGGCTACACCTGAAGTCCCCATACAGATATAGCTAGGAGACCTGTTCTACAAACAATGAATATTCTAAAAGAGAAGCCAATGTCGTAATGGTATGGACATGCTCTGAGACCGCCACCAATACTTTTGCCTCTGGGTGGTCCAATCAGACCCAAACCGTCCCGAAGAGTTGGTGAACAGGAAGACTACATCTTGCTGATCTCAGGGACCTCGCAAAGTCCCTGATTGATCTAAGAGAAGGTTTTCAAACTGGCGACAAAAGGTAGCCTAGGCTGATGAAGTTGGGACGGCTCCGGAACGGAAGGAAACGGAAAGAGAAAGTGTTACATACTTGCTACAGTTATAATGGTTTCCACCAAGGTCTTCTGTTCCGGTGGGAACAGAGGTTTAATCTCATTGGGTGAAGGGTCTGACAGCTCCCTATAAAAGGGCTGCTGTCAGACTCAACCTTTGCTGGATTGTTCTCACTTGTTGCATTTAATAAAGAGCTGTTGTTACCATTAGCCTGTGTGTGCCTTTCCATTACCCGATCTAACACTTTCTTTCCTTCCTTCCTTCCTTCCTTCCTTCCTTCCTTCCTTCCTTCCTTCCTTCCTTCCCTTCTTTTTCCTTCCCTCTTCATTCTTTCTTCTTCCTTCCCCTCTTTATTTTTTTTCCTTGTTCTCTTCCCATTTCCCATCTTCCCTTCTTTTTTGACCCTTTCGACACCCCTGATATACAACAATCCAGCCAAAGTTCACTTCTTTATTTGCTCACACCTAATAGACAGAATGAGAGGGACACAGTGGCTCAGTGGCTAAGACACTGAGCTTGTCAATCAAAAAGGCCGGCAGTTTGGCAGTTTGAATCCCTAGTGTCATGTAATGGAGTGAGCTTCCATTAATTGTACCAACTTCTGCCAACCTAGCAGTTTGAAAGCATGTAAAAATGCAAATAGAAAAATAGGGAGCACCTTTGGTGGGAAGGTAACAGTGTTCCGTGCACCTTTGGCATTTAGTCATGCTGGCCACATGATCACAGAGACGTCTTCAGACATTGCTGCCTCTTTGGCTTTGAAACAGAGATGAGCACCACCCCCTAGAGTTGGGAACGACTAGCACATATATGCGAGGGGAACCTTTACCTTTAATGGACAGAATCTTGCCAGATTAAACTCACATTACTCTCACCCTCATAAATATACCCTGAGAGCTTCTATGGAGTGGCTATCTTAACTCAGTTCCTCTGTCTCATTTTCAGCTCTGGCCTGTGCTGCCTCTTGTTTCACCTCCTCCTTAGAATGTGCTCCTTCCTTTCTGGGAAACTGCTACTTCATTGTGGTAGGTTGGGTAGAAACTAGGAGTGAAATTCAGCAAGTTCTGGAGAACCAGTACCGGAAATTTTGAGTCGTTTGGAGAACTGGCAAATACCACCTCTGGCTGTCCCAGAGTGGGGTGGGAATGGAGATTTTGCAATATCCTTCCCCTGCCATGCCCACAAAGCCAGCCCACAGAACTGGTAGTAAAAAAAAATTGAATTTCATCACTGGTAGAAACGTTGTGTGATTGACACAAAAATCACTCGGCTATCTCCAGGATCAAATGAGAACTCAAACCTGGATCTCTGAATACTACATCACTACATTTTTTTTCATTTCATTTATACTTTATTTGTATGCCACCCTTTTCCCTGGGGGGACTCAGGGCGGCTCACAATTGAAGGGGCGGGGAAGACAGACAAGTTACAAACATAGAGCAATACACCGTTAAAAACACAACAGTCAC